TTTAATGAAATCCTGCTATACTAGCAGGTTCTATTTTCATAAATGTCTTTTTTTTTTTTTAAGCCAAATCATTTATTTCCCCCACACACTCCTGAAAAGCTTTAATCAGTGTGTCGAAAGAGAGAGCTGTTGGGTGTTGCTGTGTACATTTTGCCAAGAGGGGGAGAGAGACCTGAGGATCAAGAGAAATCCTCGTGGCCTATCTCTGACCCTCCTCTCCTGTCTGAGCATCTGAGCCTTGGATTCCCTATTTGTAAACAGGGGTTATTCAATTAGTCTTTCCAAAGGCTGTCATGGCATCCCTCAAAGACGGAAAATTCTTTGCAAATAAAAATGCCTTGCCACAGGAGTGCCTGTTAATTATAAATGAGAAGTAGAAGGGAGGCAGCTAGGAGGGAAAATACATGAGATCCTCATGGTTTCTGTTTACCATTTTTGTTTTCCTTCCTCTTTGATTTTGATTTTTCTGAATGTGTTTGTTATTCGAGGGCACAAAGGTACTTGTGGTTGGGATCAGGCATGGTTTCTATAGTTAATTGTTTGGGTTCAAGGGTCACATAGATCCTACTCTGAGTCTCTGTTCTGCTCACCATTTAGAGTTTACTTTGAACATATTGCTTGATCTCTCTGGGCCTTTGTTTTCCTCTCTAGAAAGTGGGGATGATAATTTCTTTGTTGGAGGAATGGCGTGTTAATCTGGATTTCTGGGTGTAAGGTATAAGTTAGGCAAATGCTGTGCATTCTGCACATGTATGCACCTTCCCTAATTCTGATCACCTTCACGCTGCTTCACCTTTCTTGTATTCCCATAGCGCTTAGCATCACACATGATAGGGGCTTGGATAGTTGTTGACTAAATAGACCTTTAGCCCTCTGCCCTCACTCTGTTCTGTTGATCGTTCTACTCTGTGAGATTCATTCTGGATCTGGTTCTGTAATTCCGTGTTTTGTTTTCTTCTTGTCTTTTTTCTTTTCCTGGGGCTTGCGTTCATTGGGTTATGTCCATCAGACATTAAATATTGTGCTTTTCCTTGTACCGCTGGATACATGACTTGCTCTGATAAATATTCTGGAGACTGAATTTGGTAGAAATTCCTCTACATCTTGTTTTTAAAGTATGGCCTTCTAGTATAAACTGTTAGTCACCAAAGAGCTTCCTAAATTTGCTTAAGCCCACTGATTTTTTTTTTTCTTTAAGTCATTAACTGGTATAAAAATATTTGGAGGGAAAAATCGCTGACCACTTCCTGACACCCTTGACTTCTTTACGGTAGCCGGTTAATTAAAGAGTTACTTAAAATGGGCTCTGACTATTTTTAAAAGTAGCAGCCAGGGTTTGGAAGGAACCTCTTTGAGTTTCGAGATGCAAACCAGATCCAAGTGTACATTCTGTCTGTGTATATTTTCAGTCAGATGAAGAGCAGGAGGTGGGAGAATCTGACAAGCCTGACTTGGCTGAACTAAACTGATTTTGTTTCTTGAGTACATTTTGGTGTCAAAATTCAGGCAAAAGACGTTAATAGAGTAAGGACAAAAACCAACCGATCATCTTAATAGATGGAAAAAAGCAGTTGACAAAACGCAACCCCCTTTTGTGATTAAAAAAAAAGCACCCCAAAAACTGGTATAGAACGAGTCTTCTTCACCTTGAGAAGCGGCATCTGCAAAAAACCCACAGCTCAATACTACTTGATGGTGAAAGATGGGATGCTTTTCCTTTAGATCAAGACAAAGATGTCTGCCCTTGCCACTTCTGTGGACCATTGTACTGGAGGTTCTAGCCACAGCAGTAAGGCAAGACAAAGATATAAAAGGTATCAGATTGGAAAATAAAAAATAAAACTATCTCTCTTTGCAGATGACATGATCTCATATGTAGGAAATCCTAAGAAAATACACACACATACACATACACCATGCTCTTCAAACTACAAAAAATGAGGGGTGCTTGGGTGGCTCAGTCAGTTAAGCGTCCGACTTCGGCTCAGGTCGTGATCTTGCGGTCTGTGAATTTGAGCCCCGCATCGGGCTCTGTGCTGACAGCTCAGAGCCCAGAGCCTGTTTCAGATTCTGTGTCTCCCTCTCTCTCTGACCCTCCCCCGTTCAAGCTCTGTCTCTCTCTGTCTCAAAAGTAAATAAACATTAAAAAAAATGTTTTAAAAAATGAGTTCAACAAGATTGTATGGTGCAAGATGAATTGACAAGTACCATTGGTGTTTCTATCTACTAACAATCTCAAAATGAAAGTAAGCAAACCGTTCCATTTACAATAGCACCAAACAGAATAAAATACTTAAGGATAAGCTTTACAAAAAATGTGCAGGACTTGTAACTAAAAAGCAAAAAATAGCATTGAAAAAAATTAAAATAGGCTGGAATAAATAGAAAGACATATTTTGTGCATGGGTTAGATCTCATATTTTCAAGATAGCAGTATTCTCCAAGTTGATCTCTAGACTCATTGCAATTTCTATTGAAATCCCAGCTGGATTTGTTTTTGCACAAAATGGCGGGATAATCCTAAAATTCATATTTCATGATGCAAATGTCAGGGACCCAGGAGAGCCAACACAGTTTTTTGAAAGAAGGACAAAGTTGGCGGATTATATTCACAATTTCAAAACCTACTGCAGAACTACAGCAATCGAGACAGAGTAATGCTGACATAAAGTACATAGGTCAGTGGAATAGAATTGAAAGTCCAGAAATAAACCCTTATATTTATGATCAGTTGCTTTTTGACCAGACAATCCAATGGAGAAAGAATGGACTTTTTAACAAATGGTGCTGGGACAGGTGAATAGCCACACAACTATGAAGTTGGATTCCTACCTCACGCCATGCATGAAAATTAACTCATAATGGCCCATAGACCCAAATGCAAGAGCCAAAGCCATAAAACTGCTCGATGAAAATATAGGAGTAAATCCTTATGACTTTGAGTCACACAGTGGTTTCTTAGGTATGATACCAAAAGCACAAGCAACAGCAGAAAAAGAAATAAATGGGAGTTCCTCGTAATAAGAAATGTGTGCATCAGTGGGCATCATCACGAAAGTGAGGACCACCCACAGAGTGTGAGAATATTTCTCCAAATCCTATTTCTGATAAAGGACTTGTATTCAGAAATATATCTAAAGAATGGTTATAATTCAGCAATAAACAGAAAATAACAGTTTTTAAAATGGGCTAAAAGTTTGAACGTTCTCCAAAGTAGATTTATAATAAGCACGTAAAAAGATGCTCAATATCATTAGCTATTAAGAAAATACAAACCAAAACCACAATAAGATGCCACTCCACACCCACTGGGATGGCACCAACAGAAAGATAATAGCGTGTGTGGCAAGGATGTGGAGAAAATAAAGCACTCATTCGTTCTTGGTGGGAATGGACGATGGCACTGATATTTTTAAAGAACAGTTTGACAGTTCCTCAAAATGTTACATGTAAAGTTACCATATCACCTAGTAATTCTGCTGGATATATACCCAAGAGAATTGAAAACATATTTTCACACAAAAATACTTGTATATAAACATTTAGAGCAGTGTTATTCACGAAAGTAAAAAAGTGGAAACAGCCAAAATGTCCAACTGATGAATGAATAAACAGAGTGTAACGTATCCACACTATGGAATATTATAATACAATAAAAGGGAAGGAAAGACTGGTACATGCTACAACATGGATTCACCTTGAACATCTCATGCTGTGTGAAAGAAGCCAGTTTCAAAAGACTACGTATTGCATGACTCCATTTGTGTGGGATCTCCAGGATAGGCAAAGCCCTGGAGATAGAAAATAGATTAGTGGTTGTCAGGGACAGGAGGGAAGGGAATGTGGAAAGTCACTACTCATGTGCCCTGGGTTTCTTTGGGGATAGTGAAAATGATCTGACATTAAATCGTGGTGATGGTTTCACAAAGCTATGAATATACTAAAAGCCAGTGATTTGTACACTTTAAAATGGTGAACTTCATGGTAGGGGAATTAGATCTGAAGAAAGCTATTGTCAAAAAAAATTAGGCGCATGTGGGGATTAGGATTCTGGGCTCTCTCATTGCCTGGATATGATGTTACCGAAACTAATCATAAAGATCTGAGTACCACATAGAACGGCTTATTTTCTTAAAATTTTATTCCTCCCATTTTTTCCCCTCTTTTTTATCATTGGAAGCTAGAAATGCTTTTGTGTTGCCGATATCAACCTTTTTACTGCTTCATCATTTTTGTAAGCATGGAAAAGAATAGAGGGTAACCTTAAAAGAGAAATCTTCAACTTTGGGGCCAGATTTTTATCTTCGGCTGCCACCTTTTCACATAATTCACATGCATGATCCTCTTATACTGCATATTAAAAAAAAACTATAGAGATTTGTGTTTCTGATGAGAGTTTCAAACCCATGGGGATATTTAGTACAGGTGACAATGTCTTTCCCATGAGATCTTGGGGCCAGATTTATTTCGTGGGAAAAACGTATTTTCGCTCTTTTTCTTCAAGAAAAATCTCACCTGCAGTTCTTTCTATAACCGCTTCCGTTTTCCAAGCTTCTCGGAAGCTTTTATAAAAATGGTGTGTTGTCAATATTTGTTACATCCACAGGTAATATTTCTGGTCAGCATATGTATTATGTCTACTTAATTACTACTACAGGCAAGCAAATTTGCAGCCGTCCATGTCCAGTGCTCTGTCTAGTAAAAGATACTTTGGCATGACTTTTGGGATATTGATTTAGAAGAACGGTTGAAGTCCAAGTTTGAACATTGTCATCCTGCTTACCTGGCGGCCTCTGACCTTCCATGACGTTTCCACATGTGTACCGCCACACCTTTTCCAAAGACAGGCGTGCTGTGGAACGCTGCTTTAGAGGCTCTTGCCAAGAGCCAGTTGCCAAGGAATGTGTTTATGGTTTGGGATCCAAGGGCTGGTGACTAGCAGCCAGTTGAAAATGGTTTCTTTTGCCTTCCTCCTCACCTACCGCCTTTGCTGCTTACAGGAAGATCTGCTTGCACTGCAAGTGCCCTCAGGAGGAGCACATGGTGACAGTGATGCCCCTAGAGATGGAGAAGACTGTCAGCAAACTCATGTTTGACTTCCAGAGGAACTCGACCTCAGACGATGACTCAGGCTGCGCCTTGGAGGAGTATGCCTGGATCCCACCAGGGCTGAAGCCTGAACAGGTACCATTCTTGATTGGGCGGTGGGGGGGGGGGGGGGGGGGGGGGGCAGTTGT